TTTTTGCATAAGTAAGGGATGGTGTTAAAGTATCTTGCTGAAATGGTAAAGATTTTGGCGTATTTGAAGAATTAATTAAATGAATAATTTTTATTAATACGGAAGAGATGGATTGCTTAAGTTTAGAGTTTGGAGTTAGAGATATTAATATTTGTTTACTTATATCTGAACATTAGCCTAGGTGTGGTTTGGGAAGTCCGGGGGGATGGGATATAACATTGTGTAATACCTGTGATGTCTTTTTTTTTAATGATGAAAACAATAAAAAAATTTATATTGGAAAAAAAAAAAAAAAGATGGAGAGATTCCTTTGTTAGATGTATTTTTGCCTATGTTTTTGCAGTGAGAGATTGAATAGCATTCTGTTTTTGTTTTATATTTGTATTGCTTAATATATTGTGAACTGTTTAGTCAATTTGAAGCTGCAATCCTAAATTTAAATAAATGAATATAAAGGTCAAGTATGATGGAAAAGAAAATGAAAATATCCCCATGTACATGACTAAGCCATATTGAATAACAATTGGGAGGTGGAGTAACTTGCACTTGGTTTGAATGGACTTAATTAAAGAGAATATCCACCCACTACTGTAAAGACCCTCAATTGTTATTCACTATGGATTACTCATATTTTAAATCATGGTCATATATTATGATCAATCAAGAATCAAGAACATTTGAACAGGAAGGAAACGATTTACAGGGGGGGGGGGAAGCAGAAGCTTAGACTCAGGGGAAAAAAAACAAGGATTATTTTGTAAAACTCCTAATATTGTATATATTGTATTCAGTCTAACTCACTCATCTTTTAGCTAATCTCTATTTTTTTAGTCATACATAGAAGTAATCTTCACTATTTTTTCCATACTTCATTTCAAACTAAATGTTCTTTGGATATTAAAAATATAATTCTTCATTGATTACTATTCTGAAACATGTTATTTACCTGGTTAGTGCAATCAGGTTCAGATTCTTCTGAATCAGAAATATCAGAATATTCTGAGCTGCCATTCCTGAGTTCTGATTTCACACTTTCAAAAAACACTAGAAAGAAAAAGAGGGACATTAGATTTTTCATTATATACATACATTATCTTATATTTTCTTTTTCTGCCAATCTTTTAATCCCACAAAGGTTCAATGCTTAGAAGCAAACAGCATTTGGGATCACCTTGTAAAGCCCAGAATACTAATAAACTGCAGTACTTAAATTTCTTTTAGAATTTTCTCTCTTGCTCCATTCTCATAAGTTCAAACTCAGATCTATTCCCCCACATATGAATGAATTCACACATCTAGATGAGTTAGTATTTAGAAACACCATCTCTGTCTAGGTTTAGGTAGAATGTAAAAATCTAATGTTGCTAAAGTTCTAATGGATTTTAAACTCTACTGATTTGTGTTTAGAATTCTTCTGACTTGGTTTTCGCTGTTGGTACCCATTTTAGTAGTAGAATGAGAATAAATATTAAATTGTTTTAAAATCCTAAATAATCTAAATATAAAAATCCAAAATAGCTCCATTAAAATCTTTGCAGCATTTAGTACAGTATATTTCTAATAAATATATGGACAGTCTTGCTCAGCGTATGTAAAAAAAAAATATGTCAGATATAACAAAATCAGTGTTTCTCTATTTGGTATATGAAAGAATTAATGTTCACGTTTAATATGTGAAAAAGTACTAAAAAGTTATCCCCCTTTCTTTTGTGGCATTGTCAATGGCAGTGAAGCTAGCCTGATGATGAAGTCACATCCATCAATAATATATATAGCAACTAGATATATAAAAATAGAGGAAGAAAAAGTATGAATTACTAATTCAAGAAAAAAATAGACATACTGTTCAGTGGTTTCTGTGTATCCGCATGGCCATCTGCCTCCTGGGACTTCGGCTCTTCTGTCATAATAGTTCTTTTCTTCTCATCCTCATCTTCACTGTCTGCTGTGTATAGACTTGGATCTCTGAAGGGCCGCCGTTCATCTCTGTCACAAAATATTCTGTTGTAAAGGATATCCATTGGAGTTTTCCCTTTGTTATTTTCTCATCTTTTAAAAGAGTGATATCTAACGTTCACTATAAATACTACAAACTAAAAATCAATTTAAATATTTTTCTCCTGTATCTGGTCATACTATGTTTTTACTGATGAATTTCTGAAGAGAATGCAGAATTGTTAGGGATTTTTTTTTCCTTTATAAAAGGTTGATTTAAGTCCTTTTAAATCACTTTAAAGCACTACTATATCAGTAACATTACTATTAACACTTGGTATACTGAGTAGCTATCAGAGCCTTTACTTATGTGTTTTTTTCCAAACACAGCACTCCATACAGCATAAACTAGCTGGATTTAGTTTTCCTTTTATAACCAAACCTGCACAGTACTTCCTGGAGTGTTATTGGTGGTGCAGTCAGTGGTTAGAATGCAGTACTGCAGGCTACTTCTTTGACTGTTGGCTGCCAGCAATTCGAGTCTCACCGGCTTAAGGTTGATTCGGCCTTCCATCCTTCCGAGGTCAGTAAAATGAGGACCCAGATTGTTGGGGGCAATATGCTGACTCTGTAAACTGCTTAGAGAGGGCTGCAATGCCCTGTGAAGCGGTATATAAGTCTAAGTGCTATTGCTATTCCATGCCAAAGTTCATTAATAGAGAAGCCAGGAGCCTGCACAAACCTGAATCTGGCCTTACAAGTTAACAACACATTTCCTGTCCTAAATTCTTACCTTTTAAAAACTGACATACAATTATATCATTTCTCAGCCTCAATCAATCAATTAAAAGGTGAACCGAATTAGCAAAATTCAATAAAGCAAAAGTCATGTAACATTTGTTTGGTACCTAATTATTCTTCCATTTGACAACAAAAGCCGTAAATCATTGTCTTTTGTTCTCCATTCTGGAACAGTGGAAGATGGTTGAAGTGGCTTGTTAAACCTCCCATTCAATTTATAATTTGCTGTGTCCTAAAGCAAAAAAAAAGATTCCATTTTAAAAAGCTCTGTGTAATTCACATTAGTGGTGATGCAAACTTTATCTATAAGCAAAAGAAGAAAAATGCATTATTAATAACTATAACACAGGTTTATATGTACAAATTATTATGCACAAACAGGAAATTACTAAATTCTGTACTTTATAATACTTGAACCTACTTCCATTCTTTGGACTAATGAAGCTTAGCACACATAATTATACATATTGCATCAATATGTCAAGAAGGATATTGAATAGGTTGAGGTAAGACCAATATGCTCAAGTGGAGGATGCTGGCAGATAGCAACACGCTGTGCGAATGTGGAGAAGCACAGAGTCCGGCCCATTTGTTGGTCTGTTGATTACTAGAATGCACCAAACGTGATTTGTTTCTGGCCAATGATAAAAGCCAAAAAGGTGGCCTCATTTTGGCAGTTTAAGGTTTGATATGGACATGAAATAAAGAAATAAAACATGTCAAGAAGTTAGCTAAAACAAGTAATTGATGACTTCTAGCATTATTGCACAATGTGGGACTATAAAAACAACTTTTAGAACTCACATACAGAATATATTACCATAGGAAAAATTGATCTAGACATCAAAGTCTTTCATAATTTTCTTAGCATCCTAATGGTAAGCAATAATATGAAACGGTGATGGTATACTGAGTTATCAGATTGAGAGAGTTGGAGCTGGAAACTTAATCTTTAATACTAAACTCTTATATTTCTTTTAACCTACATTTGCTAAATTTTTTGAGCTGATATATTATGTAAGCACACAATATTTTAGCAAAAGTAAATTACAAACATTTTGTATTTTGTACCCAGCCTTTTTTTACTTTATTTGTATAACTTGTAATACTTGCCTCTTCCCATGGGGACATTTCTAATCTCTTAAGAACTGCCCTTGTGTGGAGCTCCAGAATGTCCAGATTAGAAGGTGTCTTGATAGACTGATCTCGTAGCTTCCTTGCTTTTCTTCTGGAATGATGAATGGAGGCCAACTCACTTGATGATCGTGAAACTTGACACACACCAGTTCCCTGAGTTTTTGTTGGTTTGTTGTTCTCTTCCTTTAAGTAAAATAAAGCCATTTAGAATGGATTATTTTATAATTTCACATTCAGTTAATGATGTACCAAGATAAGAAGGAAAAGATATTGGAAAGGGCTATTCCTTCCTCTTCTTTCACTGTAAGACTGGACAATCATTACAGCAGCAGTGCTCCGAGAGGAAGGACAAGATACAATTGTGGAGCCCTTGAAAATCCAGAGGAAAATATCCTGCACATCTTGTATCATATCTTTCCCGGTATAACTCTTGTCTCATCCCAAATGCAGCCTTTGGATGCCAAAAGGATATCCCTATTGTAATGTGTCTTCTTGTAAAACAGCATTTTAGATGGTATGCAGTATGAAATAATAGAAAATTTAACAATCCAGCTCATCAAACTAATTTCCATTTGATTCAAACCATTATCCAGTCCCACCCTAATTGTTTCCCTGTAAAATGATGCAAATTTCCACCATCACAATTAAATGTCTTTTATTCATACCTCTACAGAGCGAATTACTTTAGAAAGTTGCTTAATTAGCTGTCCAGGCCTAATATTGTCTGGAATTTCAAAGGCATGTTCTGTTACAAGCTGTAAGAAAAAGAAAAGAAAATCAGCTAAATTCTAAATATAAATGAAAAATGATACAGTCATACATTTCTACAAAATGCTACTGCATTATGAAAAACAAAAATGCTACTGCATTTTTAAAAATAAAACTTACATCTTTTTTCATCCATAGTTTTAAAGCAGTAAGTAAAGCTTTCACTCCTTGTATTAAGAATGTTTGGGGCTGAAAACCATCTTCTTTCAGCTCTAGAAATGAGAATTTAAGTTTAGATTAATATTGTTTCAATAATGATCCATCAAGCAGTATCTACTGTATCTCAGCCATTGGTAATATTTGACCCAAATATTTAAAATTATTATGAAAATAAAATGGGACTTTTCTACACCAATGCAGGCTAATTACAACATGGAGTAAAACCAGAAATGTACTGCAATTAAAGCATTAAGTATCCTTCAAACTACAGAGGAAGGACAGAGCTCTTGTTGCAAACAAATGAAGATTATTTACGTAAATATAATGTCTCAAAGGTTNAAGGTCATTTTGTTCCAATTATCTCCAATAATTTTTATACTATAGATCTCCTATGCAATTACTCACGTTTTATTTGCATTTTCATTTCTAGATGGCTTCTCTGTGATTTGAAACAGGTCCTTTGTTACTTTATTTTCCTCTTTAAAATTTGAAGTTACTTCTTGTTTTTCATCATCTCCTGAGCTTTCTGATTCCTCTAGTGAGGAATCCTTTTGCTGGAGGGAGAGAAAATTATTTAAGCATTCCACTGACTAAATATAATCAGTGATTTAAAACTATAGTTAAGAATCACCAGAAAGATAGGTAACAGTTTTTTTCACTCAAATAATACTGTAATAAATGTGAATAGATTGCTGAAATGCCTTAGTGTGAAATCCTAGCTTTAACAGTTATCTGGAACAACCATTCAAGAGTAGTCCGCAATTTAAGAATTTTCTTGAACTCACAGTTCTTGATCAAACAGGTGACAGCTGTGGCCTAGAGCAGTGGTCCCCAGTCTTTTGGGCACCAGGGACCAATTCCCGTGAAGAAGGGTTTTGCCACAGAGCAGAAGGGACATGGTTTCATGTGCTCCCTACATCCTGTAGATGGGGCTTTGCTTGTTTGCACAGCCCAGTTCCTATCATGCTGCGGACCGGTGCTGGTCCACAGGCCGGGGATTGGGGACCTCTGGCCTAGAGGGCCTTTTCCCAGTTTCATTTGGTGTACCAGTTCTGCTCTTCTTTGATCAGGAGACCCTTAGGTCAATTGTTCATGCTCTAATCATCTCGTGACCTGACTACTACAATATACTCTATATGAAGCTGCCCTTGAAACCAACTCAAAAGTTCCAATAGGTCCAGAATTCAATAGCACAGACAGCAATAGTATTCCCATGTGACACATCTTTTTAAATTGCACTGGTTGCCTCTATGAGTCCAGATGCGATTACAGGTACTAATCCTACAGATAGGACATATAAAGCCCTACGTGGCAAAGGGCCAGGTTATTTGAGGGACCACCTATCTCCTATAGTTTCTGCCTGGTCAGTTGATGCTGATAGACTAGACATGCTCCAGACCTCTTCAGTTAAATAGTGCTGTTTATCAAGCCCTAGGAAGCATGCCTTCTCTGTCACAGCATTTACCCTCTGCTTTGAGATCTCCCCTGAAATCCATATGGCTTGTTAGCATTTCATAAGATCTTGAAAAACTTCTCCCAAGTCTTGAGTTAAGATGGATAGATTCCTTTGTTAGATGTATTTTTGCCTATGTTTTTGCAGTGAGAGATTGAATAGCATTCTGTTTTTGTTTTATATTTGTATTGTTTAATATATTGTGAACTGTTTAGTCAATTTGAAGCTGCAATCCTAAATTTAAATAAATGAATATAAAGGTCAAGTATGATGGAAAAGAAAATGAAAATATCCCCATGTACATGACTAAGCCATATTGAATAACAATTGGGGGTGGAATAACTTGCACTTGGTTTGAATGGACTTAATTAAAGAGAATATCCACCCACTACTGTAAAGACCCTCAATTGTTATTCACTATGGATTACTCATATTTTAAATCATGGTCATATGTTATGATCAATCAAGAATCAAGAACATTTGAACAGGAAGGAAACCATTTACAGGGGGGGGGGTGGAAGCAGAAGCTTAGACTCAGGGGAAAAAAAAAAAGGATTATTTTGTAAAACTCCTAATATTGTATATATTGTATTCAGTCTAACTCACTCATCTTTTAGCCAATCTCTATTTTTTTAGTCATACATAGAAGTAATCTTCACTATTTTTTCCATACTTCATTTCAAACTAAATGTTCTTTGGATATTAAAAATATAATTCTTCATTGATTACTATTCTGAAACATGTTATTTACCTGGTTAGTGCAATCAGGTTCAGATTCTTCTGAATCAGAAATATCAGAATATTCTGAGCTGCCATTCCTGAGTTCTGATTTCACACTTTCAAAAAACACTAGAAAGAAAAAGAGGGACATTAGATTTTTCATTATATACATACATTATCTTATATTTTCTTTTTTCTGCCAATCTTTTAATCCCACAAAAGTTCAATGCTTAGAAGCAAACAGAATTTGGGATCACCTTGTAAAGCCCAGAATACTAATAAACTGCAGTACTTAAATTTCTTTTAGAATTTTCTCTTGCTCCATTCTCATAAGTTCAAACTCAGATCCATTTCCCCACATATGAATGAATTCACACATCTAGATGAGTTAGTATTTAGAAACACCGTCTCTGTCTAGGTTTAGGTAGAATGTAAAAATCTAATGTTGCTAAAGTTCTAATGGATTTTAAACTCTACTGATTTGTGTTTAGAATTCTTCTGACTTGGTTTTCGCTGTTGGTACCCATTTTAGTAGTAGAATGAGAATAAATATTAAATTGTTTTAAAATCCTAAATAATCTAAATATAAAAATCCAAAATAGCTCCTTTAAAATCTTTGCAGCATTTAGTACAGTATATTTCTAATAAATATATGGACAGTCTTGCTCAGCGTATGTAAAAAAAATATATGTCAGATATAACAAAATCAGTGTTTCTCTATTTGGTATATGAAAGAATTAATGTTCCCGTTTAATATGTGAAAAAGTACTAAAAAGTTATCCCCCTTTCTTTTGTGGCATTGTCAATGGCAGTGAAGCTAGCCTGATGATGAAGTCACATCCATCAATAATATATATAGCAACTGGATATATAAAAATAGAGGAAGAAAAAGTATGAATTACTAATTCAAGAAAAAAATAGACATACTATTCAGTGGTTTCTGTGTATCCGCATGGCCATCTGCCTCCTGGGACTTCGGCTCTTCTGTCATAATAGTTATTTTCTTCTCATCCTCATCTTCACTGTCTGCTGTGTATAGACTTGGATCTCTGAAGGGCCGCCGTTCATCTCTGTCACAAAATATTCTGTTGTAAAGGATATCCATTGGAGTTTTCCCTTTGTTATTTTCTCATCTTTTAAAAGAGTGATATCTAACGTTCACTATAAATACTATAAACTAAAAATCAATTTAAATATTTTTCTCCTGTATCTGATCATACTATGTTTTTACTGATGAATTTCTGAAGAGAATGCAGAATTGTTAGGGATTTTTTTTCTTTTATAAAAGGTTGATTTAAGTCCTTTTAAATCACTTTAAAGCACTACCATATCAGTAACATTACTATTAACACTTGGTATACTGAGTAGCTATCAGAGCCTTTACTTAGGTGTTTTTTTCCAAACACAGCACTCCATAGAGCTTAAACTAGCTGGATTTAGCTTTCCTTTTATAACCAAACCTGCACAGTACTTCCTGGAGTGTTATTGGTGGTGCAGTGGTTAGAATGCAGTACTGCAGGCTACTTCTCTGACTGTTGGCTGCCAGCTGTTCGAGTCTCACCGGCTTAAGGTTGATTCGGCCTTCCATCCTTCCAGTAAAATGAGGACCCAGATTGTTGGGGGCAATATGCTGACTCTGTAAACTGCTTAGAGAGGGCTGCAAAGCCCTGTGAAGCGGTATATAAGTCTAAGTGCTATTGCTATTCCATGCCAAAGTTCATTAATAGAGAAGCCAGGAGCCTGCACAAACCTGAATCTGACCTTACAAGTTAACAACACATTTCCTGTCCTAAATTCTTACCTTTTAAAAACTTACATACAATTATATCATTTCTCAGCCTCAATCAATCAATTAAAAAGTGAACAGAATTAGCAAAATTCAATAAAGCAAAAGTCATGTAACATTTGTTTGGTACCTAATTATTCTTCCATTTGACAACAAAAGCCGTAAATCATTGTCTTTTGTTCTCCATTCTGGAACAGTGGAAGATGGTTGAAGTGGCTTGTTAAACCTCCCATTCAATTTATAATTTGCTGTGTCCTAAAGCAAAAAAAAGATTCCATTTTAAAAAGCTCTGTGTAATTCACATTAGTGGTGATGCAAACTTTATCTATAAGCAAAAGAAGAAAAAATGCATTATTAATAACTATAACACAGGTTTATATGTACAAATTATTATGCACAAACAGGAAATTACTAAATTCTGTACTTTATAATACTTGAACCTACTTCCATTCTTTGGACTAATGAAGCTTAGCACACATAATTATACATATTGCATCAATATGTCAAGAAGGATATTGAATAGGTTGAGGTAAGACCAATATGCTCAAGTGGAGGATGCTGGCAGATAGCAACATGCTGTGCGAATGTGGAGAAGCACAGAGTCCGGCCCATTTGTTGGTCTGTTGATTACTAGAATGCACCAAAAGTGATTTGTTTCTGGCCAATGATAAAAGCCAAAAAGGTGGCCTCATTTTGGCAGTTTAAGGTTTGATATGGACATGAAATAAAGAAATAAAACATGTCAAGAAGTTAGCTAAGACAAGTAATTGATGACTTCTAGCATTATTGCACAATGTGGGACTATAAAAACAACTTTTAGAACTCACATACAGAATATATTACCATAGGAAAAATTGATCTAGACATCAAAGTCTTTCATAATTTTCTTAGCATCCTAATGGCAAGCAATAATATGAAACGGTGATGGTATACTGAGTTATCAGATTGAGAGAGTTGGAGCTGGAAACTTAATCTTTAATACTAAACTCTTATATTTCTTTTAATCTACATTTGCTAAATTTTTTGAGCTGATATATTATGTAAGCACACAATATTTTAGCAAAAGCAAATTACAAACATTTTGTATTTTGTACCCAGCCTTTTTGTACTTTATTTGTATAACTTGTAATACTTGCCTCTTCCCATGGGGACATTTCTAATCTCTTAAGAACTGCCCTTGTGTGGAGCTCCAGAATGTCCAGATTAGAAGGTGTCTTGATAGACTGATCTCGTAGCTTCCTTGCTTTTCTTCTGGAATGATGAATGGAGGCCAACTCACTTGATGACCGTGAAACTTGACACACACCAGTTCCCTGAGTTTTTGTTGGTTTGTTGTTCTCTTCCTTTAAGTAAAATAAAGCCATTTAGAATGGATTATTTTATAATTTCACATTCAGATAATGATGTACCAAGATAAGAAGGAAAAGATATTGGAAAGGGCTATTCCTTCCTCTTCTTTCACTGTAAGACTGGACAATCATTACAGCAGCAGTGCTCCGAGAGGAAGAACAAGATACAATTGTGGAGCCCTTGAAAATCCAGAGGAAAATATCCTGCACATCTTGTATCATATCTTTCCCGATATAACTCTTGTCTCATCCCAAATGCAGCCTTTGGATGCCAAAAGGATATCCCTATTGTAATGTGTCTTCTTGTAAAACAGCATTTTAGACGGTATGCAGTATGAAATAATAGAAATTTTAACAATCCAGCTCATCAAACTAATTTCCATTTGATTCAAACCATTATCCAGTCCCACCCTAATTGTTTCCCTGTAAAATGATGCAAATTTCCACCATCACAATTAAATGTCTTTTATTCATACCTCTACAGAGCGAATTACTTTAGAAAGTTGCTTAATTAGCTGTCCAGGCCTAATATTGTCTGGAATTTCAAAGGCATGTTCTGTTACAAGCTGTAAGAAAAAGAAAAGAAAATCAGCTAAATTCTAAATATAAATGAAAAATGATACAGTCATACATTTCTACAAAATGCTACTGCATTATGAAAAACAAAAATGTTACTGCATTTTTAAAAATAAAACTTACATCTTTTTTCATCCATAGTTTTAAAGCAGTAAGTAAAGCTTTCACTCCTTGTATTAAGAATGTTTGGGGCTGAAAACCATCTTCTTTCAGCTCTAGAAATGAGAATTTAAGTTTAGATTAATATTGTTTCAATAATGATCCATAAAGCAGTATCTACTGTATCTCAGCCATTGGTAAATAAACTGGGTTTATAAATTTTAATAATACTTTTATTTTACCCTGAAAAGATGTGGTTACGTCCGATTAATGTTGTACCTCATTTTGGTCTTTACATGACGTTAATTTCGTAATTCATAGGAAGTTTGATGTCTCCTTCCTGTCTCGAGAACAACGTTTGTTTACTTCTAATAAATGCATTTATATTACAGAGTTTCCAAATCTTAAAAACTGAACAGCAATTCCTTTTCTTCTCAATTGCTTTAAACAGGATATTCCAGAACTGCATGCTTTAGAAGTGAGGTACCTCTGTGAAATTTTCAGACTATATATAGCCATTAAATTTTATTTCCATTTTCCATGTAATGATAAACTGATGCAGGGCTTGTACTGTATACACAGTGTTAAATGACTATTGTGTTACAATTACACCTATTTATTATTATACCCCAAACAGAATTCCTGTCTTGTTGTTTTCTTATCAACACAGATTAAAAATAAACAATAACAAATCGGCACATTTGCAAGAGTCAACATTAGAAGAATTAGGCACTAAAACATTCTAAAAAAAACTACATGATAGCTTAGTATCAATATATAAATGATCTAGTTTGCCTTATTATCCAATGATTCAAGACTGTCATAAGGAGAAAAGTTGATAACTGTTTTACTTTGATAATGCAAACAATACTGAAGGATTATTTGTGGCACCTTAAAAGAAAAATCAATTAAACCATAACTGCATTTGTAGTTCTATCTGCATCTTATACAGTGTATATAGTCCATAAAAGCTGATGTAAATTAATTAATATACCATAAAATTCTGTTTTTTTTATGCAACTAATAGTTAGCTCTCCAGAAATTACAGCAATGAGTAAATACAGATGTTCCATTTTATTAGTTAGATAACGCTACTGATATGAATGAGCCCCTATTCTCAGAAGATTCCAGTTCTTTGACATAGGGCCAATTTGTTTCACCTGCAAATGAAAATGCTTCTCAATTTGGTTTTTAAATTGAACTTAAATTGGGCATGTCTGCCTTGTTCAGTTCTGAAGAACAGATGGTAGCCAGATTCATTGTTTAGAAATTTGCATGCTCACAAGAGTATCTCTTCCACATCATAGTACTAAACAATTTTGGTTTAGAAGTAAATTTGATACAAAACTTTCTATTAATGTTCCTTTGTGATGATCAATTTATTTTGCATTTACCCACACTACTGCTATATTGTTATTTATCATCATGAAACAAACCAGATATCCTTACTTTTTCTCAGCAACTTGAATTTGTGATACATACATTTACAATTTGAACTATATTATTATTGTTGTTGATTTTATTTACATAGCCTACCAGATAATTCTGAATGCACTTTTAACTATCAGAACCTTCCCAAGGATCTAGGACAGTTAAGATACCATTGTAAGATACTGGTATGTTTTGTAGTGATCATCTTCATTCAGATCTTGACATTTCCACAGGGCATCTTGATTCCTTTAGATTTTACTATTTTTCTCCATTTGATAGTGTGCCTGGCACATTTGTCCAGTCGAACCTCCACTATAATATCTTGGCTATTTATATGGACAGTATTGAGCAGCAATTTTATTTCAGACAATGTTTTACCATACAGTTTCAGATTGTCCATGTAAAGGAGATGGGCTAACCTGCAGATGTTTTGATGTTTGATAGCCATGGCCTAGAGTTATTCAGTATTGTTGACAAAGTAATCAGTGCAATGACAAACAGTAGTAGTGATAGTGAGTCTCCTTGAAAGATTCCTCGCTTGATCTTAACCCCTCCCAATCTATCACTATTGACCAGGAACCATGTTTTCCATTGTGCCATCTATCTTTGTATAAATCTTCTAATGTTTCTACTGTTATTTCAAAATACTTGATTACCCAATCATGTGTCAGGGAGTTGAATGCCTTCTTAAATCAATCTATGCCACATTCAAGTTGGTCTTCCTTTTCTTGCAGTTTTCCAGAATCATCTTGTCAATTAGGAATTGATTTTTTGTTCCTCTGCTGTTTGGACAGTTTCAATTTTTCTACTTCTTTAATCAGAAGGCTCTGTTCTTTCTGAGGCAGAGGAGAGGAGTTGGAACGAAAACAATTAAATTGCTGTGCTGGCTTCCTCTACAGTCAACTTCCCCTGGTTTGCCTCTATAGTCTGAGCTGCTTCTTGCAACGCTTTGGTTTCTTTATCCTCTGGAGACCTTTGCAATTCTTCCAATTCTGCTTCCGTGAATATTTTATTTTATATTATAAATCAATGCTGATCTGCTAGCCTGTTTTATTACTTCAGATTCTGGATATTGCTCTTCACAGAACTGGTGCATTCATTTCAAGTATTTTCATCTTGGTGGATTTGATCTATAATAACAGATCATTATTTCTTTGTTTTCTATCTTTGTATGTTTGTGACAGGTAAACGTCTTTCCTTCTAATAGTTCTGCAGCTGCTGGCCCTAGTTGCTCAGCCAACAGTCTTGAGTCCTGCAACCTATCCAAATGTCCAGGAACTTTAACACCTAGCACAGTTTGTTGACCTAAGTGACAACTGAGCTGGTATGAGTTTCTGTAAATTACATCTCACGATATTGTTTATGGGAGAGACACTCTTTGTCTGACTCTCAAGAGACCTGTCCAGAATAGTTGAACTTCTGGCATAGCTCTCATCTTCCTCAGTGCACACAAGTCCATGACCATGCCAAGGTTTATTATTATTACTATCATCAACATGGGAAAGCCAAAGAGATTGGCTAGAACACTAAATCATGCATGGGCAATCCTGCAGCTATGGGAAGCCATCTGTGCAGCCATCTGTGCCAGCACTATGGGTGTAGAAATCACTAAAATTGTGCATGGTAGGATAATCAGCAGGGATAGCTATTCCACAGAGTATCTTCACTGTGAATCATTATGCTAACCAAACTGTTACCTGGCATGCTTGGAGATCAGGATTTACAACATAATAATAGCATAATCAATCCTTCCAGAAAAAAGAATGGTGTAGATGAGATGAAAATGAGTAGGTACTTAAGAAAAAATAGTGGAAGTTAAACAGCAATCCTTTTAGAGTGGGAAAATACTTATTTTCATATCCATAAAACTGTACTTGGCATCATTATTTGAAGACCTATCCCAAAGGGGGAATATGCATTTACTTCATCAAAGCCTTTGAATTCAAGTGCAAAGGATGATATGTGAAGGGTTGCTACTATTGTTCAAGTGCAAACATTTAAATTAGTATAGCTTGCATAATATTTTAAAACTATATAAACTGGTTACCTTGATTTTTCTTAATTGTAAAGTATAAACAACTTGCTTCTCTGACTATGATGTGCTTACACACCCACCAAATCCTCGTAAAAAAGCCTATTTTCAAATCCTTCTTAAAATATTAAATTAGTTACCTTTCAAAGTTTCCATTAAGTTTTTGGCCACAAACCAACAGATGGCTTCAAAGAAAGGGAATTTGAAAAGATCTGGAGTTTTTAGTCTTTTCTCCATTTCATAACACCTAAATAAATGATTCAGAAGGATTATTTTATATGAATATGCAATTATTGCTCAATTTGTTCATGATATGTAGCAAAATAAAATATACCGTAACAACCAAAATTTAATAAAATTCCTGGTGAAGTGTACCAAAGCCCACTTGAGAATTATTTTTCATATTCTAAGATTAAGAGTTCCATCCACTGCATTCAGATATATGAAGTATGTTTTTATAAATTCCATGAACTGTTAAAGAGACAGATGTTTGCTATTAGTAGTCCTTGCCTGTTGACCAATGATTTAATGACAGTCACAACAGCCCCAGAAGTGCTTTAATGCCCATGAAGCATTTCTAGACAAAATAATCATGTGATTGGGGGAGGTGGGGGTGCCACCCCGCCTCCCCCAATCACATGATTATTTTGGGTGCTTGGGAACCTGTTCACATTTATGACTTATTGACTAAGTGCCTTGAAATCATATGATTGCCATATGCTATCTACTCTGCCAGGTTCCCCAGAAAGTCAATGGGGAAGTTGGTAGGGAAGGTTGCAAGGAGAATCCATTTTCCCAGTACACTAGGGGATGTCCCCTCTCCTCCATGTAGGGAGGGAAATTGTCCCGCATGGAGGAATGGATCAGAATGCTGATATTTACTAGTATTTCCCGACCCCTCTGGAAATCTTCTGAAAGGCTTCGTAGGAGGAGAAAACACTACCAAATACTAGTGTTCTTGTGATCATTACCCCTGGAGGGAAGGGGCAGAAAGAGGGCCCAAGTCTCCCAGGTATGCTTGGAAGTCCAGGTCCTCTCCCTGCCCCACGAAGCCTGGAAAATCCAGGCCCCTTTCCCCAACAGCCAGTTTAACAACCGCAACTGGGAGAATTTGGATTGTGATTCTTGAGTGAAGTGATCATGTGGCATCTCACTTAATAGCCACTTCACTTGACAACCAAGATTCTAGGCCCAATTTTAGTCATAAGTGAAGGATTATCCTTAGTCATAAGTGTAGGACTATCAATAACTTAAATAATATTTTCAGTAACTCTATTATTTATTATTTTTAGTGTATGTTGAGAACATGACAGAAGAGAAGTAACATATATTCATAGTTTTATAGAGGTAGGGCAGTGGCCTCATAACTGGATGTCCAATTCAGCTATGCAGGTGATTGCCTCAAGTGTTGTTTCATGTGGGTTTTCTAGGGAACTATAGAACACACAACGGGTGGAAACTAATCAAGGAGAGAAGCAACTTAGAATTAAGGAGAAACTTCCTGACAGTTAGAACAATTAACCAGTGGAACAACCTGCCTCCAGAAGCGGTGAATGCTCCAACACTGGAAGTTTTTAAGAAGAGACTGGACAGCCATTTGTTCGAAATGGTATAAGGTTTCCTGCCTGAGCAGGGGTTGGACTAGATGACCTCCAAGGTCCCTTCCAACTTTACTATTATTATTACATGTCGTGGGGCAATCTTGCCCAATATGTTAAATAGTTTACATGTTAGCATCACAATTGCAACAAGAGGAATCCTTCCATCCCCACTGATACAGGGCAGAGGCATTTCTTCCAGTATCCCACCTAATTCTGTTCAATTTCGACCAGACAGAACAAGGCAGGTCAAAACCAGGTGGCTGGATAGAGGGATCACTAATGATCAGGCCACAAGAAGATACCTTGGACCATTCCTCTCTCCAGGCATTCTCAGGGTTAAGCTGTGTAGATGTTAAATGAATAGTTGTTTTCCATGTTGGCCTATAAGATTTCAAGATTGTGATGGGCTGTGCATTGTCCTGGTGAATAAGGAGGGCCCTGTTGTTCAACATTCTTGACCATAGCCAAATGAGAGGGGGTTTTTTTCTTCTAAAGTGGGGAAGTATTACATTGCTAAGTATTGGTAACCATTGCATAGGAGTGGGATGCAATGTGCCAGAGATAATACGCATTGTCTGGTGGAGTTGGACATCGACCATTTGGGTGTGGGCGCTGTTAAGCCATATGCTGGCACAAAATTCAACTGTGGAATAAACCAAAGTCAAGGCTGTTGTTCATAGGGTGTTAGCATCAGCACCCCAGGATATTCATACTTGTTTAGCCAATTTCTGTTTTTAATGTAATTTTGTTAGAAGAGGCAAGCAATTCAGAACAATCTATTCATTTTATCTGGAGATCATCAGATTATGATAATCCCTGTATTCTTTGCAAAATATCAGCATGTTGTCTTCATAAGATCAGAAAATGATTTAAGACCAATTTAACAAAGACATGTGTTTACATCTGTAGAAAAAAAAATAGTTGGATAAAAGAGGGAATTCCAAGTCTAACCTGAGCTGCATGCCAATATTGAGGTTGTGCAAGAAGTTTCCTCCAAAAGCCATACAGTCCTGAGAAGTGAGTACAGCATGAATCCATCCTGAAACAAAAAGTTAAACCTATATATCCACAATATTGTGTTCCCAAAAGCATTAGAGAGGCAAGTTATTTTAACAACCCACATATTGTTCAAATCAAAGTTTTATCATCAAATTACTATTATCTTATTGGACTATCAACATATCAATAACTTTCAGTTGTGCAGTACAGGTCTGCTTGATCAAAAGCATAACCAAAAATCTCAAAAATAAAATCAACAGCCAGAAACTGGTAGATTGTGAATTCAAGTCCTGCCTTAGTCATGAAAACCAGCTGGGTGACTTTGGGCCAGTCATTCTCTCTCAAACCACCTCACAGGGAGGTTGTTGTAGGAAAAATAGGAGGTGGAAGGAGTGTTCAGTACATTTGCCACCTTGAGTAACTTATAAAGTAATAAAGGTGGGATAAACATCTAATGTAAATAAATAAATAAATAAATACTAAACAACTCTTCCTGCCATAAATGAAGTATCTGTTTGAAAGCCAACTTTCATTTTCCTATCTAGTTTTATCTCAAAACTTAAAAAGCTGTTAGACTACTGAATATAACTGAAATATTTCATCAATTTGTATCCTTTCATAAATCTCCTTGCTTATACAGTTACAAATATTTTACCCTGTATGACAGGGATCTCCAACTTTGGCAACTTCAAGTTTGGAGTTCCCAAGATTGGAGACAGGGGTCAACTCACTTAAGAGCCGCCTTGCTTAGCAATGGAAATTCTGGTTCCAATTGTGGTCATAAATTGAGGACTACCTGTATTTTGTTTCATTAACCTCAAAAGCTGCTTTTTGTTCCCTTTGTTCCATATATGTTACTAGTATTGCAGGTTATTTATTCAACAGGAAATCTGTCTCATATAGCAGAGGTCTCCAACATGGCTGGCTTGGGAATTCTGGGAGTTGAAGTGCACAAGTCTTAAAGTTGCCAAGGTTGGAGACCCTTGCTTGATGAGACAGATTTCCTGTTGAATAAGTAAGCTGTGATATTAGGTGACATGTATGAAGTAACATTCTCAATTTGTGAGTATTTTTGTTTATGTCTGGTGCTATCCATAGATTCTTGATAGTTAACAGCCATAGCTGTCAATAATGCAGTAAAATACATAATAAAATGTTTTATTTTAAATAAAACATATTTTAAATAAAATTTGAAATTGTAAAATAAAATTAAGCAATAAGGGCAATAATTTACTAATGGTGCCATCCCATTCAGTTTAGAGAAGACCAATAATATGATGACAATTTCAGTTCCAGGAGAAAACAAAAAGCAGCTTCTGAGGTTAATGAAACAAAATACAGGTAGTCCTCAATTTATGACCACAATTGGGACCAGAATTTCAATTGCTGGGATGGTGCAACCATCATACATACAGTACATGTTGGTTGCCAAGCACCCAAATTCTTATTATGAGATTATGGGAATGTTGCAATGATTGTAAGTGTAAGGACAAGTAGTTAAGTCACTTTTTCAGGGCCATTGTAATTTTAAAGAGTCACTAAACAAAAGAGTTTTAACTGTTGATAACTACTAGTAGGTCTGAACACATGTACTTATAATTCCATGCTGAATTCTTTATTAAACTGTCCTGGAAATCACCACATGTGCTGCAAAGTATAGCTATCAGCTTCTTCCCTCCCCCCCCCCCAAAGCATGATTGGGGAAAAAAACATGCAAAAAGTTCTGGGAAAACGTAGACAAAACCTGATATGCACAAAGCAACTGGCACACAATGAAGAAAAATGGAAGAGTATGGTATGGGATATCAGCAGACTTATAGTACGTGCAACCAAAAACTGGTTACCAGATGCAATCTAAGGATTTAATTTAAATTCAAGTAAATAAAAATAACAGACTAATTAACACCATTAATTCTGTCTAACAGATACAAGCAAATGTGGATTGAAGGCTTTGATTTAATCTCCATTATTGCCTCAAAACCTCAAAGATCAACTTTTTTTCTGAAAAACACATCTGCCAAACAGTATTACAAATCAAATCAGGAACTATACTGGCAATTGAATTCAATATAACCCATGCCCTATCATGTTATCAATGATTATACTAACTTGATGAATTAATAATTCTCTCTGTGATATTGGAATAATTAAATCAATACATATATATTTTTATAAAAAATAATGTTATTTATTTATTTGTTTGTTTGTTTGTTTGTTTGTTAAACTTATATGCCACCTATCTGACCGAAGGTGACTCTACAATAAATATAATTATTGTATACATTATTAGAGTATGGAACAACAAAAAGCAGTGTTGAAATTTTTTCACTGGTTTGAATACACAATTATTAAAAATGTAGTAGGAAATGTACAATATACAAATAGATAATTCTTTAGCTATCTTCTAACTTTCTTCAAGTTCTTTACCCGTCTCAACTTCTACCTCCATAAATGCATAGTAATATCTGAGTCTATCTCCTAAATTTAAACTTAATTGCTAAACTAAATTAAAAATTGTCTGAACATTAATTACCGAGCTCCAATACATTGATATGTTAATGGACAGGGAAAGAACTTTTTACCTGTTGGAACAAATAAGGTATGTCCTTGCTTTACAACACATTTATAACATTTGTCAACTTTATCGCCAAAATACACTTCACTCTGGGTAACAGATGAACTCCAGGATTCATAAATTGCCAGATTATCATTAGTAGGTTTGATCAAGTAGAAGATCTTTTCACCCTATGCACAGAAGACATTTCATTACATGTTGTACATCTTCGACAATTTTGTATTACAATCATTAATATCACTACAACATAATGAAAGCATAGAATTTTATTGCTATTTAAAAGGAAAGTACCATTATCAAATCTAACCAGTTGGCTAGACAAAATCAGAAATCTATGCAATTTTTTCTGTGGATAGCAAAACAAGCAATAAGTTAAGTGAGAAACATTATTTTCTCCAACCATTATTCTCACACAAACACACACACACACACAGTGCATTCAGGAAGTATTCAGACCCCCTTTACTTTAATCAGTTTTGTTTTGCTGCAGTCTGATTCTACAGTTGTTGAAATTCATTTTTTTCTCATTAATATACATTCAGTTCCCCATAATGACAAAGAGAAAACAGAATTTTAGATATGTCTGTTGCAATAGGAATTTTTTAGAAATTGCAACATTAACACCAAGAATATGACAAATCTTTTTTCCTTTTACTGAAAAAGTGGTTTCAATGTGATATGTAAAAGAACACATTCATAATGAGAATTTGTTACATTTGCACATTAAGGAAATTAACAGTTTTCTTACCCAAAGAACATGATACCAAACAGAAGTGCCCCCAAAATCAATATGAAAATCTGTGTAGCTATCTTGAACTCCCATTAAGCAGTACTTCTGAACAAAAGGCTTAGGGAAGACCGAGTCATCTGGCCAGTAATTTTCAACCCATGAAAGTTTTCTGGCAATTTCAGGAACTTCCACTAACTCGGACATCCTTTAAAATTCAAAACAGAAAATGCAATTTGAATAGGAATACGACTAAGAATTTCTTAATATATGCAAATATGAAAAATCTTTCCCCTCTAGTAATATTTTGATTCATATTGCTATTTAGAGTGAACAGTTAACAGCAAAGATAGATAATTAGTCCATTATATGACTTATTTAATTATATTACATATTCTCTGAAATGGAACTTGTATGAACTATAATGAGATTTGAATGAAGAAAAAAATAGAATGAAAGTCTTCATCTAAATCCAAATTTTAAATTATTGTATATCAACACAATATAATAGTTATATAGCAAAGTTAATGGTACTTTATTTCAAATTAGAATTGTTTTTCTAAGTGGTTAAAATGTTCAAAAAGAGATTAGTGATTAATTCAATCAACTATTTTGTATATTTTAAATTATTGGTTCATAGGAACGTGGTTATTATGTGTTTGTATATGTAGTTTCAAATTGGGAAGATCAGTACCTTATTGCATGACAAGAAATATTTTTTCGTGCTGCTTGGATGGTAAAAAAAATTATATCAGAAACCTTAATTAATAAATTAAATAATTAGAAGTCATGCAATAGTATTAAATAAATAAATTAAATAAAGTAATTAAATAAATTAAATAATTAGTAGTCATGCAATAGTACGAAATTTCTAAAATAGAGAATATCCCACAAAAGTTGATCTCTATGCAGAACTGCAATGTTTAGCTCTTAGCATCTGCGAATAGATTTGATTTAGAGACATAAACCCAGATATCATTTTCATTTTTTAATTAAAAAATAAAGGGTATTTTTAAAGTAACATAACCTATAACAAACATTTTAAAAATATTTTCATTTGTTTTGCATATATTTGTCAGCCCTCTCAGATAAACCAGATAGGAAACACTACTAGATGAATTGAATCTACTTTATTCTGAGGCTACATTAACAGAATTTTGCAAGTTTGAAAGTACAAAACTTCCTGCCACCTCTTTTAACTGTTTCATCCGTTAGGAAATATCCTTTCTAAGTTTCTTTCTCTGACCTTTAAGTTACTGGGAGATCTAGCCTCTCTTGTCTAGGTTGTATCTCTTCTCTACTTTCCCAAAGGTCATTCCCACAGTCCATTAAAGATATAAGAAAAATATAGATAACACCTTTCCAAAGAAAAAGCAATTGCATTCATTCATCCTTTCAACCTTAGTTATTTAGGGTAACCCTAAGCTTTAAGTATACATCATAATCAGTTATTTGCGTTTATCTCCAAACTGTCATATTCCACCTTTCAAGTTTATATTTCATTATTGCAACTATCCAGAAAATCTGCAATTATTGCTATATGCTACAGTTTAAAATATAAGCCTTTTTCGTTCCAGATACATATATGAAAACTGTATACTCACTTTGTGTCTGAGAATTCAAGGCTTATCACATTTAATACTTTTGGTCTCTCAGGGTTTGTAAAATACTTAATGTAATTATGGAGCTTCATTTTGCTATCTGCTTGTCTTGCCACATCAATAACATCAATCACTTTATCACCACCTGTAAAAATGAAAAAATTCAATCACTGCATAAATCAGTCAATAAAGGTCTGTAGAAATTACATCTCAGGATTATGGGAATATAGTAATTTATGCGTAAGTAACTAAATTAATTTTTTTGAAAATCCTGAAACTGTTAAAGAGAAAATATAGATAAGTGAACCATTAATGTTTTAAGTATTCTATTCATTCCAATTAGATTAATCTCAAAACATGATATTTAAAGCTTACAACTGAAACTAAAGCTATACTCTTTGGAGAATTCATCTTCAAGTGTTCTCAGAAAGTGTCACAACCATAAAATATTTCAGGAAAAAAATATTAATTAAACCCATTTACTTTTCCTCGCCCTTTCGTGTTCAAACCAACAGTGCATACCTACATAATGTTCCACATCTAGAACAGAAAATGTAGAAGGTGGGAGTCTGAGACCTAAGCCATCTAATTTAGGTACCATAATGGGAACATCAAAACCATGCTTTTCCAGGTATCTTTGCGTCAATTGGCTTCCATGCATTTTCAAAATTATTTCATCAGCACTAGAAAGGAAGTACATATATATGTATATTATTTTAAAAATAGAAACAGAATAAAAAAAAAAACTGCTATCATTCCTCTTTCAAACAAACTGAATGAATGTTCCAGCAGTAGAATTTTTTTTGAAGTGAAATATAAAGTTTCTGTCCTTCCCAACATTTATTCTATCTGATCATTTTCAGCAGCTTGCTTTAATTGATCATAATGTTACTGAAACAATTCTTCCAGAATGTCTTTAGTATTATTAGATATCTAATTTTAACTTCCTCAAATAAACATTGAAATCCTGATGAGATTCATATCCTCTAGAGCAGTGATGGCGAACCTATGGCACGGGTGCCAGAGGCAGCACTCAGAGCCCTCTCTGTGGGCACACGCGCCATCGCCCCAGTCCTAGGCCTTCAGCTGGGTTTTATAAAACCTTTTCGCTTTAGGCCTCCACCACCATGTGCAAAAAAAAAAAAGGTTCAATCAGTCAATTTCAACTTCTCACGGGGAAAAAAAAGATCTTGCAAAGTTGGAATTGATTGATTGAACTTTTTAGTCCCACCCAGTCTGCCGTTACCACTGCAGCCACGCCCAGCCAATGGGCCACACCCAGCCAATGGGCCACACCCATCCGGCACTCGACGATGCATAAGTGGGTTTTGGGTTGCAGTTTGGGCACTCAGTCTCTAAAAGGTTCGCCATCACTGCTCTAGAGTAATATAGTTAAAGGATCAGAATCACTATTTGAAGCAACTACACATAATTTTGAATTTTCCTACCTTACATAATTTCTAATGCAACTGTTCTTACCTTGGGAATGAACACGCACGTAGCTGTTTAACAAATGTTCGGGTTCCAGCTTGAACTGGCTTTGAACCATCATCATGTTCTGTATAGTCATGTCTGTGCCAGTTCCTCCTCTTCTTCACTACACAGTGAAAAATGTAAGCATCAATTTATGATAGGAGAGAATCAAATCCCATTTAGCTATGACATTCTCTGGAACCTTAGTCAAAACTATTTCTCTATTAGTAATGAATTACTCAGGGTTTTTGCTAGGATCTCATTGGAAGGGGAAAAGAATGAGGAAAGAAAATATGTATAGTACACCACACTGAACTTTTTGGAGAATAAGCGCAATACCATGACACATAATACAAATGTGCATTCTACCCTTTATTCAATGTACTGTAGTCCCGGGGTAGGCAACCTTGGCTGTTTTATGACTCGTGGACTTCAACTCCCAGGATTCCTGAGCCAGCACAGCTGGCTCAGGAATTCTGGGAGTTGAAGTCCACGAATCATAAACGAGCCAAGGTTGCCTACCCCTGCTGTAGTCAGATCAGTCAATCTGTTTTTTTTCTAACCATCCCCAAGATGTTCATTTTAGCACATATAATTGCCTCAAGATCACTGAGAGAATATTTCTTGTTGAATAGGGATTTGAATTAAGGTTCCCTGTTTTCTTCCAGTAAATGTAAATGAATTTCAGATCAGGTCCTGCCACCAGTAAATTATTATTAAAATCTCTCTTTTCCTTCATCCAGAATTAAAGGAAATATTTTTAAAGATATAAGAAAAACTGAGTATGGCTTCATTCAAATGACTGTAGTTATATCAACATCCTAAACAGAAACTTTATAATACATTAAAAAAAAGTTAAATGACAAAATTCAGTACCATGCCAACCAGAATGTATTCCAGAGATACACTTTTAATCATTTGCAGTCTGCAGTATTCATGCAAACCATTCAGCGTAGGCTTTGATTATCCTACCTAGATGTTTCTTGCTCACTAAAGCATCCATTATTTCAGAACTGATAAATTCTATCGCTACAATTATGTCAATGAACAGAATTGTATTATAAAGTTTAAACTTGCATTTCAAATGTACTAGTTAAATTTTGCTATACAAAGTAACTTTGAAATCTTAATTTTAAAATCCATACTGAGCAAATTCTGTTGTGAACACAACTTCAGAGTAATTGGAACCTAGCAGTAAAGATTTACATTTGCCTGGATAAGTCTATAAAAGACCAATATTACAAGATAGTCTTAGCTGAAAACTGTTTTCAGTGTTTTCAAATTAAAGTTGTCCTCATAGTGTAAACCTATTTATTTAACAGCTTGTCATGTGAACTGCAGTATTTTCTGCATATCACAGCAGATGGGGATGAATGCCACACCTTCAAGAGCTCAAACAGTTTATATTCAATAGCAGCTGCAAAAGAAATATTTAGCCATAGCCCTGGTATCCATGTTGTATTTACCAAACTTTGGTGTGCATATTTGTATGTAAACTCTACATATCATTTTATCCAAATGTGTACAACTGTTTCTTTAAACTCAACCAACGCTTTAGAAAATAGCCAATGGCACTGGCAGTTTTTTAGACAGGCAGCTGAACTACAGAAAATGTAAGACAAAGCCTCTGAGGTAACTGATCCCAGCTAAAAGTATCTATTAACAGCCAGTATTACAAATAATCACAGCATAAAAATTATATATTAAAAGATAAATCATTACTTCATACAAGGTGCTCAATATTTACACTAAAAAGATTTGAGTGGATTTAATAACAAGCACCATTTCAACAATGTCACACTAATAAACTAAATTACTATTGCTGCAGAACCTAGTAGGTTTGAATACATCTGTTGCACAGATGAACATAACATACATTAATCAGCATTATATCGTTTTGGTATCTGAATAGTGACTCAATTTGAGATTTAGATGGCAATATTAGGATGGATGAATTATGCACATAAAATTATATTGACTTTATCTCCAGAGTAGACTTGTTCAGGCAAACATAGATAGCATACTAAAAACATCACCTTGCCGACAAAGGTCCATATAGTCAAAGCTATATTTTTCCCTCAATACTAATGTAGGGCTGTGAGAGTTGGCTGAGCACCAAATAATTTATGTTTTCGAATTGTGGTGCCCTAAAGACTCTTGAGAGTTCCTTGGACTGCAAGTAGATCAACTCAGTCAATTCTCAAAGAAATTAAACCTGACTGTTCTTTGGAAGGAAAAATACTGAAGCTGAAGCTCAAACATTTTGGTCACCTAACGAGAAGAGATGATTCATTGGAAAATGCCTAATGTCAGGAAAGATTGAAGGCAAAAGGAGAAGGGGACGATAGAGGATGAGATGGTGAGATAGTATCTTCAACACAATGAACATGAATTTGGGCAAACTCTGGGAGAAAGTGGAGAACAGGGGAGCCTGGCGTATTATGGTCCATGGGGTTGCAAAGAGTTGGACATGACTTAGCAACTGAACAACAACAAAAAGACTTGTTCAGGGATTCATAGATTCTTTCTCAAAGGTATTTTCATCAATATCCACTATTTGATAACCAGAATTGTTGGATTATCTCAATAAGTCCCTTTCCCAGCACATGAAGCAGAGCTCAATTTCAATTTTGCACAAGAATATGGAAATGGTAATTTAAAAATAGAAGGAAATAGTCATTACTTCATTTGTCACTGTCAAACCATTTTTAATAAGTTATGGACTGATGGCCATTTTATCTGCTTGCAGATATAGGAGACTCACTAAGATGGTCTGCCCTAAAGATTTATGAAAAGCTCTGGGACATCACAGAACCATTGAAATATGGAATGGTAAACTGAGATGGGCCACTGTCACTACTGCTGTGAACCCTAGACAGTCTCCTGAGGATTTACAAGAAATGAAATAGATTAAGTGTAAGCGGCAAATATCTTGTGAAGATGATCAACTAAGGACCAAAGTACATTATTATGCTTTTCATACGACAATAAAAAGTGGTAAAAATGTTCTTCATTTTCATCACTGCACTTTCATATAGCTGTCCAGAGTAGCTGTTTTATGTGATTCAGGGACTTGAAATATCCATCCTAGCAAATAAGGTGTTGGAGCTCAAAGCTATTTGCTAGAATATATTTATAAGACATCTTAACTTGATGCATTGTCAAACAAAGTACTTTATACTTCATCTGACCCAATTTTGGGGGATCAAGTTTGAGTTTTTGAGGACCAAAGAAATGGATAAGATACTTGAAACTGTGCAATTAACTACATGTCTCCAAGTTTTTAAGAAGAGATTGGACAACTGTCTGTCAGAAATGGTATAGGGTTTTCTACTTGAGCAGGAGGTTAGACTAGAAGACCTCCAAGATCTCTTTCAATTCTGTTATTTTGTTATTCTGGTCTTTCTTGTAGGCCAGCTTGGACTTTCCAGTACTCAGTAAGCCTTCATGGTGTATTAGTTTCATTAAATCTTCTTCACTGTCCTTCAGATATTCTTCCAATGCCCTTTTTTATTCTTCAGTTCCCTGATGTATTTGCAACATTCCATACTCATCCCATTTTACTTGGTAAGTAGAATCTGACATGCCTCTCAATCCATCTTTTTACAGTTGACTCAGTCTGATCAATGAGATGGAATGAATGGGTCAAGAAGATAAGTGTCAAAGTATCTAGAAATGACAAAATGTCCACTTCTCGAGAAACTCACTCTGGGTGTTACAATTCTTAACAGTTACTGAATAACTGCTGGTTAGTTACAATGTCTCCTTCTTACGAAAATCATCTGAGAAAATAACTGTACAATTTCAGATACTCATCAAAAACAGCTCATTTGGATTCAGGACTGGTACAATTTTGATATAACTGATCATGCTAACCCTGTGAATCAGCTCAATGTATTAGAAGTGGGGAACACCTAACTTCAAGGCCAAATGTAAAACATTTTTTAGGGAGTAGGGTCATTTTACTTCAATCTTATCATAACAAAGTTATAAAAATCCATTCTGTCCCAAGCATTGTTTAGCAGATATATGAAAGTGCTAGAAATGTTTATGTTATTAGTTTGCTAACTGTATTTCCCTGAATCTCCCAAGCAGAAACTGTGTAGCATGGACTAGATGGAAATCAATAAAATGAAACTGGATTTTGAGAAGTTATGTTACACTGAATAGACAGCTTCCTTGAATTTGGAAGAGTGCCTATTCTGGATAAAGTTGTAAAAGAAAAGGTGCATAGTTTAGAGGTGCACTTAGAGTAAATATTATTTATGGGGACACAAGCCATTTCCATGCCAAGGACTATATTAAAGATTCAATGGTATCATGTCAAGCTTTTGCCATAAATTCAAAAATTGTATGAGTGATTCCCAAATTAAAGCTACCTTTGTGGAGAGTATAATGGCAAATTTACTTTATACAACATATGAAGATAATTTCTATGAAGGTTTGCAGAAAAAAGAGTTTGGTTTTGCTGTAAATCAGTCTTATATGTATTCCTTCATATTCCACACCAAGGTATTATCAAGATAAAGCAATAGGTAAGCTGTAATATTTTTATGGCCAGAGCAATTAGTAGGTTGAAAGGGAGGAGGAGGAGGAGGATTGCTATTATAATTATTTTTAAAAATCACCTTGTCAGGTGGTAGGATACATGGCTCTCATATCTTCAGATGGACAATCATGAAAACTAGGGCATTTGGGGGGAGGGTTGGAGAGATTATAAAATGTATTATTTGTTATACTTGACAAAACTCAAACAGTGCTTTTTTAAAAAAAAATCTGCTTCTGAATTTTAGTTTTGCGTTTGAAGTAGGAGTGGTAAAAGAAAAAATGTAATTATCTTTGATTTTATCCTTCCAGGCTCTTTGCATTTAAGAGAAAGATGAACAAAGAAAAAGGAACAAAAGACAGTTCACTTGGCTTGAATCCCAGAAGATAACCAGCTATCTGACCAGACAAGTCACTTAAGAAATAAGAAGAAAAACTCTAATTTTCATTACTTAAATAGATAGATATTTACTATTCAGTTTGCAAAATAACCCCTTGACTATCATTATTGTTCTGAAGTATAAACAATAACAAACAGCTGTTGGATTACAGGAATACAACAAAGAAAGACAGCAAAATAGTTGTAAGCTTATCTGAGACAAGCTTATAACTATTTGGAAGATCATGTGTTTTTTTAAAAAAGAAACTTTATTTATCTGATGTGATGCATTTCTGACTGTTTTGACCATTATAAGTGGGTTGCAACAAGAGCAGAAGCAACTTATGACCTTACCTGCCAGCTTCCCCATTAACCGCCTGTGGGAAACCAGCAGGGCAACTCGCAAACCATCATAAGCGCAAGCTGGCTGCCATGCATGCAAATCACATGATCATGGTGTTGCAACAATGGCCATATTTTTAGTTACATGCTTTAATTACGTATTCTGCCAAGCAAATGTTGTAGATCAGGGGTCCCCAACCTTTGGTCTGTGGACCGGTACCAGGCCGCGGCATGCCAGCAACCAGTCCGCACAAACAAGCAAAGCCCCATCTGTGGGATGCAGGCAGCACACAAAACCATGCACCCTCCGGTTCATAGAAAAACCTCTCTCCATGGAACCAGTCCCTGGTGCTCAAAAGGTTGGGGACTTCTGCTGTAGATAAGTGATATTCCACATAATCTCTCAAGTCTTTAAAAAAACCCATTAGAAATCAAGTGATCTGAAGTACTGATCTCTTGTTTAGCTCAAGCATTTGGTAAAATATCTTCCATAGTATTTTCAGAGATTGGGGTTAACACTAGGTTTTATCTACTGAAACTGCATCTATACATTTAGACATATCTGACCAAGGTATTGTATGTTTCAAGAAAGATATAAACCAAGCATATTATTGCTGTGGTGGCGCAGTGGTTAGAATGAAGCATTGCAGGCTAATTCTGCTAACTGCCAGCAGTTCAATCCTGACCATCTCAAGGTTGACTCAGCCTTTCATCTTTCTGAGGTTGGTAAAATGAGGACCCAGAGTGTTTTGGGGCAATATGCTGATTCTGTAAACCACTTAGAGAGGGCTGTAAAGCACTATGAAGCGGTATATAAATCTAAGTGCTATTGCTATTGCTATTATACATTATACAACTTAATCTCTTGCAGTAATCAATAGATACAGTAGATTCCAAAGGGAACAAATGTATACTTCTTTGTTCCAGTTAATGATGTAAACAGTTAAAGGTAAAATCAAAGTATAAACCACAATGAGATATAACTTCAAAACGACATTGCATAATTATCAGGCATAGCCATGATATCATCAGCTATAAAAATAATTTATATTCAGTATTGAGTCCACAATAACCTAAATTGTGCAAAATGCTTTAAAATTCATCACTTACTTAAGGAGGGTCCATGAAGAACTGCACAATTGGGACAGTGGTAAAGATCAATATCAACAGCATGGTGCTCCTCTACTCTGACACAACTAAAAAAAAAGAGAAGAAACAAAATTCAGGAACTTTATTTTAGTATCAGCCTTACATAAGTTATACCAGCAATTTCTTATTTAGTTTTACCATACCCAGGATGACAGAGAGAGAAACATATTTTCTAGGCAACTAAGACTATCTAGAAAATAAAATATGATTTAGTCATATTCTGCTGGATTGAAAGTATTGCAAAATAGCTGTGCTTTTGTACCATTGAAATTAGTTCAAATGATTTTAACTAATTTAAGCACAATTATCTTAAGCTAGAGCTAATTCCCTAAAATAAACCAGAATGACTTAGATTCAAATATAATTCCACTAATTAGCTCAAATGATCATTTGACGAAAATCACTATCTCACAGTCTGGCCTTGTAGAGTGGGATTTTTACAATGGATTTTGAGGAGGTTGAATTTAAAAAAAAAATATCTGATCAAACATGTGGAAGTAATGCAGGAACACTGCCAAAACTCCTATAGTAATCAAGTTATTTATATGTGAGGTTTGTTCCCTGTTTATATACAGTAGCTTGCCCTGTCAGTGTTAGAGCAGATGTGGTTTTGTCCTTTTGTTTCTTTCTTAACTTGAAACTTTACTTAAGTTTTACTTAACTAAATATCTTAAAAAACCAAAAGAACCAGTAGTCCAAGAATAAAAAAACAGGAGTATTACAGAGTCATATGTCAAAAGAACATACAGTGTAAGGACTATGTAGGACAGAGAGGCAGAGCATTAGCAGAACACATCCATGAACACCAACTAACAGTCAGAAGACATGATGAAAATTCTTTATCCTCATCCACTGTTTCAATTGGGAAATAGTGAGCATCTTAGACCAAGCTAAATCCAAAAAACACTAAGGAATTCCTGGAAGTTTGACATTCAGACAAATCAGCCATCAATAGATACATAGAGATAAACCATGTTTACCTGCTACAAATGAACAATTAAAAAAAACAAAGAAGGAAACAAAAAGACCAGAATACATTATCTGCAGCAGCCTACACCCAGATAAGCAGGGATTAACACCAGACATCAACATCAAACAATATCCTAATCAAGGAACTACCAAGGAGAAAACTACTGTCAGGACAAACTACTGTATGTAAGCAGGAAGCAAACCCACACTTACTAGCACTGATGTTATCTAGTTGAATAATGAAATGTCTGCAAAGAACCAAACTCAGAGAGCATCAAGGAGTCTTCCAGTAATCCCCCAGAGGGCAGAGGAAAGCAAAGGCTAGAGCAAGTTTTGAAAAATGGATAAATCCATAATCTAAACATGTATCAAAACTATCCCACCAATCACAGCAGTAACCTATTAGTGAAATTCAATACCATTTTGATAAATAAATATTCTTTAAATTTAAAGGCATCTGATTGAGCAGATGGCAGTCATGGCTAAAAGGGCCTTTGCACAGCTTTGTCACCATCTCACCAAGCTGCTTGGCGATAGTCTTTTAGCCCATTCCAGACTTGTGTAGGTCTACAATCTTGTCCCTGACATCCTTGGACAGCTCATTGGTCTTGGCCATGGTGGAGAGTTTGGAATCTGATTGATTGCTTCTATGGACAGGTGTCTTTTATACACCTTTTAAGACAGGGCTTTTCAACCAGTGGTATGGGTTGAAAATGTACCTGTGGTACACTGGCACCTGGCAGGTGGTACGCGACCATTCTAGAAAAGTAGCGGGGGAGGGGAATGAGCTGAACCAGTGGCAGCACCCACAAGCCTGAGCGAGATTGGCTGGAGCTGCAGGGCTGTCAGGGCTCAGTGGAAGTGCCAGTATCAGCGCCAGGCTCCAGCTGTAGCTCAGCGCTGATCCTGGCCCTTCTGTTGAGCCCTGAAGACGCACCAATTAGCTGGAAAGCAGCACTGATCCTGACGCTTCTGCTGAGCCCAGAAGAAGTGCCGATCATCTGGAATGTTGCAGCATCCCCAGGGTCTTGTGATTTACATTCAGATGTTTGGCAACCGATTCATATTTATGATGGTCACAGTGTCCCAGGGTCATGTGAAGTGACCAAAACCTGCTGCAACCACCCAGTAGACAGGGGGAATAAAAACCAAACACCCCCCACCCCCACCCCCCGCTGCCAATCCTCAACAGAAATGCTCACAACAATGAAAACCTTGGACAGGAGGAAGAGCACCGCCGGGTGGACAGGCAGGTGTCTTGCTCGGCTGTGGCTTGGGGGGCACTTTTTTCAGTGCCACTGTAACTTCAAACAGTCACTAAGCGAACTGTTGTAAGTCGAGGACTACCTGTACTTTATCACTTTTTCCCTTTTTTTCTTTTTTTTTTTGGTCATCAAGTTTTTGACCCCTTACTACGCGACTGGTGGTACTCGGATATTGCCATATCCTAAAAGTGGTACAATGGGTGAAAAGATTGAAAAGCCCTGCTTTAAGAGAGTGGTCCTATTCTCTATTTTCCTAATCTCAGCTTGTTACCAGTATAAAAGACACCTGGGAACCAGAAATCTTGCTGATTGATAGGGGATCAAATACTTATTTCACTCATTAAAATACAAATCAATTTTATAACTTTTTTGAAATGCATTTTTCTGGATTTTTTTGTTGTTATTCTGTCTCTCACTGTTAAAATAAACCTACCATTACAATTATAGACTGATCTTTCTTTGTCCATGGGCAAACGTACAAAATCAGCCGGGGACCAAATAATTTTTCCCACACTGTATCTGTCACCATGTTTATCAACCTATCATTGGCCTACCATATAGTGTGGGGAGGAAGGCTGATTCTAAAATTCTTACGCATTGTGCCTTGTAAGAAAACAGCTCTTCTACTCAACTGTACGCTTTCAAAAAGATACATTGAAGCACATCTAGATGATCAAATTAGTCAGAAATATAGGTTAAATGATGGCTTGCCACAATTTTCTATGCTGGCTCCACTATTTTTAATTTTTAATATATACACATCAATCTACTAGGTATTGCTGCAAGAAAGTCTATATATGTTGATGACATCATGCTGATAAAACAATCTGAAGACTTTAATGTTTCTGAAAAAGCCCTCAAAAATGATTTAAAAGAAATGGATAAGTTTTTTGAAATCCGGAGGCTGAAACCCAACATTAACAAAACCAAAGTCGCCTGTTTTCACTTGAACAACAGATAAGCTAATTATACACCAAAAGTGGAATTTAGGAACCAGGTGCTGAAGTTTAATCATAATCCAAAGTATTTAGGAATGACCCTTGACTGGTTCTTAACCTATAGGGAACACTTAAGAAAAAAGATGGATAAAATAAAAACCAGGAACAATACCCTACATAAATTTTCTGGCACCAGCAAGTGTAACAGCTTTCAGGATATCAGCTCTTGCTTTGGTATATTTGGTGGTTGAATATTGCAGCCCTGTATGGTTAAATAGTGTTCACACAAAAGCAGTGGACACCCAGCTTAATCATACTATGAGGGAAATATCAGGATCTATTAAACTGAGGCCTTCTGAATGGCTACCATTACTATCTAATACACCAATCCCACACCTTAGAAGAAAATCAGCCTTAAAAGGGGAATGGCAGAAATGCAAGGCAAACCAATTATTCTAGACACAAGGACTGTCACAATTAAATACTCAGACTCCAAATACTCCAAATTTTGGAACCTGCAGTGGAAACCTGGACAGCAATTAGTCAGAGAAGGCTTTGATATTGAGATAGTATGGCACCAGGAATGGGCAACTTCTAACCCAGATCTGTTTAATTTAATGCCCCTCCAGCTTTGATTCTTCAAGGAAAAACTAGATAGCACTCAAACAAATTACAACTAACCATGGCAGGTGCCAATACTGGAAATACAAATGGGGGCTGGTTTGACTAACTGTGACTGTAGGAACATCGTACAAATTTTTCAAATCCATAGCAGGCTAATATAATTATCAAAAATACCAAGCACAGTGTTTATATCATCACTTAATTTAGTATATTCTTCAAATATCTGATATATGAGGCTGTCCGATAGCTTGACCTGATGCAAAATATTAAATATTAAATATTATGAACAAGCCTGCTGAATAAACATTTAACATCCAGAGTGTGATCCTAGATTGTGATCCATGTCATACAGAAATTAGTGGGTTGATATTTAATGTGGTATTATTTTCTGTACATCCTACAGAATTGTGGTATCCACATATTGTATGTTTTGCATAAAACTAGTTATTTTTCCCATTACAAAAAATAAATCAAAACAATAGATTCATGGTGGATCTCTGACATTCATGAGTCCATTCATATCAGCTAAATAAATAAGCCCCTCATGTAAAGTTCATACAATCATAGATTGAAACAGTAATGCAAATTGGTGCACAATTTTCTTATCATATTTTGAATTCCAAAGTAAGTCCTGATCAGGACCTGAAACATTTTTATAAAAGATGTGCAGAGCATAACATTTAGATTGGTAAAACATTAATCACCGAATTATTTTTGAATTGTGTTTTCTAGAATTAGTATCAGGTTTCACAGCAAACTATTAAAATCATCTCCATGACAATAGTCACTATTCATCTCCCCAACATGTCAGCATATTTCTTAACTACTTCATGAACAAATTATATTTTCTTTATTGAAGAAATGTGGGTTTCTGGGGGAGGCAGGGGGTTAAACAAGGGAAAGGTTTTGAGAAGCTCCTTATGGAGTTGTCACGTTTGCATGTGGACAGCTGCAGTCTCCCAACAGCTAGATCAGTGGTTCTCAACCTGTGGGTCGGGACCCCATTTGGGGTCGATCGACCATTTCATGGGGGTCGCCCAGCAAGGCTGACCGCCATTTTTTTGTCCGCCATTTTTTTTGTATGCCATTTTTTCCCCTTTTCCGGCGGGTGCCTTACCTCCCTTGGGCTGGGCCAGCTGGTGGTCGGCCTGCTCTGTCTCTGCCGCTTGCCAGCTACGCCTCGGCGGGCGCAGGGGGCAGAACCATGCATGCGCGGCGCTCCCGGGCAGGGAAAGTCCTTGACTTATGACC